TATAACTATACTCTTTAATATATACTATTATATATAAATTTATTTTATACTATAATTTCTTTCTATTATATATTAAGAATCTTTATTATTTCTTACTTAGTAATTAATAAATTATATAAGTATAATTATATAATTACTAAAGAGTCCCTTAATTGCTGCTAACAAGTTAAGTTAAGTTAGCTATAATAGTTAGGTTAAGTTAGGTAGGCAAGCAATAGTTAAGTTATCTGCATTCTCGAGGAGCAGGAGTAATTCTTCTTATTTAAAACGTCGTGCATTTAACTGTTGGCGGAAAACGCCAGGTCAACTGCACCACGCAAAAAGTGGAACGCGCTCCAGCGATTGGAGACGCAAATTGACCTTATATACTGCGCAATTGCACACAGCGCATGCACCCCTATTTTTTTGGCTGACATTAACTACGTTAATTACCGTCTAGTCCTAGATCTTTACGACCTAGTTCGCCTTAGCCACTAAGTTTTCTTGCTTAATCTGTAATCTGAGATGAAATTGAGCTGTACTAAATACCTATACAGTAGAGACTACTGCGTGCAAGGGGCAGCCTAATCGATATCACTAGTACTAAGAACTTATACTATCTTTCGCACATCCAGCAAGCTTTGTTAACTCCCTAAGAAGCAGCTTCTTTTCTTCCTTGCACGTCTTTGCCTTATTAAAGCACTAGTTATATTGTTTCGCAAACTAGAAGTCGGCGCAGACTTAGGCTCTGTCGACGCAATTTAGGAACTTAATTGTCGAGTTGCAAGCCATCCGTGACGTGCACCGTGTTGCGGCGAACCTGCAGGCCTCCTTCTCCTGATCGTTTCTGAAGCGGCCACAATGTTCCCAAAGCCGTTCGTCCACTGACTTCTGCGGCTGTGGTTTAGCTTGATGTTGCTGTCTCGCTTGGCTGAGCGGGAGTGGCGGGAGAGGATATGTCCGGATAGTACTTCTTGAGGCACTGAAGGACTTCGAAGGTAAAGCCCTCGTGGCCTACATTTCCATAGCAAAATTCGAAGGTATTATTGCAATTCCCCCCAGCCCTAGCGACGTAACTGCAGAACTCTTCGACTGCCTTTATTGAAGCAGGCGTTACACCGTCGTCAACAGCAGGTGCCAGTTCCAGGGGCGTGCCATTCTTTGTGACATCGGCATTCGTGCTGACAACTCCCGGGCCATGTTCAGCAGCGCACTCCTTCTTTGGCTTGTTCGTCGGCGTATTTTGTCGCTCGCGAATCGGCCCCGCAAAAGCCAGACTAGCCAGACTGGCGAGCAACAAGGGAGCGGATTTCATTGTGTTATTGAAGTCTTAACTTCCTAATTTGAAGATGAAAATAAAAGTAAACAGTGAAAAGGATCAGCTAGACATAAAAAGACTTAACTAATTAAATGTGAACGAATTTTGAGATAATTTAGAGTCTTGTCGGCTAGGAGAGCGCAGCCTTTAAATACTTCCATCGAACACCATAAAGTCTAATCTATTCCGAACGATGAGAATGCAAGGGCCGTATGCATCCATCGCCCCGGGGCGTTCGAAATGCTCATCGCTCGCGCGACAGCAGACTCTGACAAGTTTGTTTCATCTACTGAGATTTATGCATATGGGTCCTTCATGAGTCAAGAGCCAGTCGTTGGGTTGCGATGGAACCTGGCTTTTCGGTCCTTGTGGGACGCATTAAATGTACTCCGTAAGCATTACGTATTTAACTAGCGCATATAACGTTATATAAATGTTACTCCGTAGAGACCTAACGCTCGTCACAGTGATTAAGGGTGTGTGGAGCGCACTTACCCTTAATTTAACTTAACATAATGATATGCTAATGTGAATTGCTCGGCGGGCTCACTACCCCACTACGCCCTGATTTTAGTCTAGCAGTTTTAGTCTAGCAGCTCTGCTGCTACGCTCTATAGTGTCGGCTAATTAAGAGACTCTTAAGGTATAATATAGTAAAGGCTTATATAATCTGGTTAATTATTAAGCAAAAGATAATAGAGATTCTTAAAGTATGATAAAAGTAACTTATTATATAGTATAAAATTATATATAATAGTATATATTAAGAAGTATAGTTATAATCTTTATTTAGTTAAAAAGAAGAAAAGTTATTTATAAGTAAATTTTATAGTAGAGCTACTAAATTAAGTATAGCTAGTAGCTTAAAATAACTTTTATAGCTATTTTCTTTTATAAAGTAGTTTAGTCTTTATAGCTATTAGTTTTTTTACTAGTTTCTAGCTAATATTTCTCTTAAAACTATAATTATATATATATATTAATTACTCTAAATAGCTATAAAGCTATATAACTAGTATATTTACTTTTTATATTAAACTTAGAAAACTCTTTAAGTAGAAAGAAAAACTCTACTTACTACTATTTTTACTTATTATAATAGACTTAAGCTGTAGGCTTAAGTAGGTATAAGGCACTATATTAGTGCTTTATTAAGTATACTTTAAATATACATTAAACTTATATATATATAATAAAAGAAAAAGAGAGAATAAAGAGCTTCTTCTTTCTTTTTTTTCTCTTCTTAAGTTTATAGTTAATACTAGTAATACTTATATATAGTTACTTATAAAGCTAGTTCTTAATATACTATAAACTTTACTTTACTATAATAAATAAATACTTTTTAAACTTTATAAAAAGTAACTTACTATTAGCTAGCAATATAATACTACTAAGCACTTAGGCTAAAGTAGCTATTCTCTAGAAAACTATTAATAACTAGGTATAATTAATTTATAAATTAATATAGTAGTATATTATATTCTTTAAATTAATACTTACTATACTAAATAATTCTTTATACTTTCTTTATTTAAGTATATAACTAATACTACTATATAAGCTAAAATAAAAGCTAATTAAAATAAAGCTTTTCTTTAAGAGAGATAAGTTTATATTTACTATATAGTAAAGCTTTATATTATATAAATTAAAAGCTAATAAAGTATTTATTAATAGTACTTATAATTAGTAAAATTTAGTTTTTTAAATATAAAGGTCTAGAAATAAGTTGCTTCTTACTATAAAGTTAAAGTATTTATAGACTATAACTTAACTATATTTCTTAACTACTTAGCTACTATATATTTTAACTTTTATTAATAAGAAATAGCTCTTACTAAATTAAACTAAATATAGTAATACTTAAATAAAGTATTTATAAACTTCTTTATTTAGTTTAAGAATAAAATAGTACTAGTAGAAAGTATAAACTAAACTAATATTATTAAGTTAGTAAAGCTTTATTAAGCTTTAAGTAAAGAAATATATAAAGTAATTTTTAGCTAAAATATCTTCTATACTTTATACTAACTAGTAGTTATAAAGCTATAATACTTTACTATAAACTTTAAGTTATACTACTTAGAGAAGAAACTTTATAATTAATATAGTAGAAACTAAACTCTCTTAGTAAGTAGTTAGCTTTAGAATAAAAATATACTAATAATAAGTATTAATAAAGTTAATATAAACTAGAAGTAAAAAGATAGAGAAGCTTATACTTAGTAAAGTATACTTTAGAATTTTATAGAGAGCTAGAGGCAAAGAGCTTAATAAGTAATAAAGGCTATTTTAACTAAAAAATAAAAAGTAGAATAATATTTATACTATAGCTTAAGTAAATATTATATTTAAAAGTATACTTTATATATACTAAAATAGCTTTAACTAGCTGCTATAAAATAAGTTATAATAATAAAGAACTTATTAAAGAATAGTACTACTAA